GCCATAAAAATTAATAAAACTCCAGGCGGTGGTGGTGCGCATCTTTAATCCCAGCACTCAAGAGGTAGAGACAGGTGGATTTCTGTGAGTTTGAGGCCAGCCTGGTCTACAGAGTGAGTTCTAGGACACTTAGGGCTGTTACACAGAGAAACCTTGTTGCAAATAGCAAAAGCCCACAATCGAAAACAAAACAAAACAAAGCACCAAAACCAAAACCCAAAACCCCAAACAAACAAAAAACTTAACTACACTGACGTGCTGTATCATATCTACATTAGTGTTTATGATTTTTCAAAAGGTAAGCAATAACAAGTGCTGGCAGGTTATAAAGCAGTTACAGTGCTCACGTATTGTGACTGAGCTTGTTTAAATGGCACAACAACTAAAGCAACTCTCCCTCCCCTTGGACTGTTCCTCAGAAAGCTAAATGTAGAGTGATCGCATGCTCTGATGATTTCACTACTATATATATATCCGTGCGTGTGCGCACTCACGCACACACACATAAATGAATAAATAGTAATTTTTAAAAATCATGTTAGCCCTGAGCGCTTGGTGCTCACGCTTACAATTGCTGCCAGAAGTCCGGTGCCATGGATTCGGGGTGGGGGGCACTTTGACGAGTGACCTAATAGGCACGTAGCTGCTTCCATCACAGTTTCATAGGGAGTTTTGTAGGGGTTCTGCCGGGGTTCGTTGTTTTCACACCAGGAAGACAAAGGTAAGCAAGGTATCATGAGTTCCCATTCTGATATTTATTCGTTCTTTAAAACTTCATTTATCCATTTATTTAGTGCATATGCATGCACATTGCGTGCCTGTGGAGGTCAGAGGATGACCTAACCTGCAGAAGCTGATTTTCTCCCACCATGAAGGTCCTTGGGATTGAACTCAGGTCATTAGATTTGGCAGTAAGGGTGCCAAAAATACAAATTTGACATTTGGGCAACAAATGGACACCCTCTTACTGAGAAAGAAAATGAAGAGAAAAGAGAGCAGTTCTTTATCATTGACTACTTCTTCAAGATCAGAAAAAAATACATAACAACAGGACATAATATACACTTTTCCATTCATAACTGCTTTCTTAAAATTGCAAATTAAGGGGAGAGCAGTTATTGTACAGACAGAAAGCAGTGATGATGGGTCACAACAGTCAAAACCATCTAAAAATTATTTTTTTACTTTTATTTTTTAAGACAGTCTGTATAGACCACCCTCCTGGCCTGGAATTCACCAAGTTCTGTCTGTCTCCGCTTCCTGAATACTGAGGTTAAAAGTATTTTCTGGCATGCCGGATGTATAATAATTTTTAAAATGGAGCAGTGTATTAAATCACATGTTCCCTTATGATTTAATTGTTAGTGTATAAAGAAAGATCTATAATAAATAAATCAGCAACCCCGAGTTACGATATCCCTGCCCCCACTTGAGGTGCTTATCTGCAAAGAAAACATAATAAATTCCCTCTGCTCCTGGAGTTGGGGATGGAATTTTGAGTGCACGGTGACTGTTCCTTGATCCCCGCTGAGGTCAGGTTACAGTCCCTTCGCAGCCCCCTCCTCATTTGGTGCCATGGTATAAAAGCTAGCCCCAGCAGTACAATAAAGAAGCTGTTCCTCCTCAACCTTGTGCTCTGTGCATTCATTCAACCTGGACACCCTCCGCCGAGATTCTTGGTTCCAGCCCGCACTGGTGCGGCACCTATTGAAATACAAACCAGTGTTTGTAAGATCTGAGAAAGAGAAAATAAAATATGAACTATAAGGGAATTGAATCATATATTGGTTGAGGCTATTGCTTTTAATGTTACTAGGCTTGGTTTATTTGATTTGGTTGAATCTTGGAAGACGGACTATAAGGTCCATCAAGGACAAAGTTCTTTTAGAGTTATCACTGGTTTTCATTACTGTTTTTTTCATTATACTCTGTAGAAGTAAAATGCATTTTTTTCGTATGTCTTTTCATTATACCCTTGAGAAGTAAAATACATTTTTTTTTTCCGTATTTAGTGACAAGCCTCTTTCTACCACAAATTCAATCTTGCTGAAGCATGTGTGTTTTCTGACTGTCCTTTGCTGAAGCTCTGCAGGTGTTCACTTTGCTTTCCCTTGAAGCTCCAGCCTTAGGGCAAACTGAATTTTACTAAACACCCACTCCTAAGTTGTTGGGCAGGATAGGGCAGTGAAGCGTGGGGCCAGTGGGGTTAAAAATTCACGGGACACAATGTGACTGCAAAGTTTGTCTGTCTTCTTTGAAGCATAACATTTTTGAAAAAATGTGATGTTTTATTCTAGTTGGGGTGGGTTTTTTTTAAAAAAAAACTTTGTTTATTGAAATTTTATTGTACTTGTCCTTATTTAATGACCACCTGCTATACTCGTGTTTGTTTTTTTAAAATAACTGAATATTTTATGGTGTATGGGGACCACACTTTGTTTATCCCTTCATGAATTGTTGAATGCTTCATATTTTTTTCAATTTCTTGACTAATTGTTAACCATGCTGTGTTAAGTAAATATTTCAAGTTACTTAAAACATTTTGAAGTGAGTTTTTAATCTACTCTGATAATCTCGGTCCTCTAATTGATCTGTCTAGAGCATGATGGGGTACACCTTTTATCCTAGCACTCAGGAGACAGGGGCATTTTTCCAATTTTGAGAGCAGCCTGGTCCTCATAGATAATTGCAGGTCAGCCAGAACTGCACAGTGAGACCCTGTCTCAAAAACAAAATTTAAATGAGTATTGATAGGATTTGACTAAGACATATTAATGTATTTTTGTTTCTTAATTCTGTTTCTTTCTCCTGTTCCTATTTTCTTCCCCTCCTGTTGATTACATGAATACTTTTAAAATTTCATTGTGATTTTTCTGTACTGCCATATAATGCATTTAATATAGTCAATTTCAGTGTCCACTGCAGGTATTACAATCTACATATTAACGTCTCGCACTCCGCTAGCATTGGCATTTTAAATGATTCCCAGCAAATATAGAAGTGTTGCTCTTTTTAGGTCTGCTTAACCACTTTTTAAAAACACATTTCTAAGTATTTTAGCTGCAGAAGGAGAGTATTACATTATCTGGCATTGACTTTTTGAGGTCTTAAACTTAATTTTGAAAACACATGAGGGGGCTGGAGAAAAAGTTCAGCAGTTAAGAATGCTTCCTGATCTTCATGAGGACCCAGGTTTGATTCCAAGAACCCATATTGGTGCATTCACATCCTCTGTCCTCCATCGGTGTGCCTCCATTGGCACTAGGCACACACCTGATGCACAATAAACTCACATAGGTGTGCACCTACACACATATATAAAAATAAATGAACTTTTAAAAACCCAGAAGAAAGTCCATTCTACTCATCCTTATTTTTTACTTACTTTAATATTTTCCTTTTTTTCTTCATAGACATTATTCTTTTGACATTTTAAGGGCAGATCTGCTTTTCACAAATTCTCCTTATCTTTCTTTCTCCATGACTGTCCATATTTCCCCTTAATTCTCAAAGACTGCAGTCATGATGTGTTTGGGAACAGACGGGAACGTGGACGGTGGATCCGTTCTGCTGTACTATCTCTTTAATGTTTCAGGTTTCCCTTAAAAAACAAAACAACAACAAAAATCTCAACCACAAAAAAAGGACAATGATCCAAATATATGTGAATGTTCTGGTCCCTGCAAGCATTTATCCAGGAAGTGATGTGATGGTGAACAGGCATTGTGAGAGGAATACTCGGGTATAACTTCCTTGTAAAATCTTAAAAGGCATAAGATGACTGCTTTTAAACTTATAACCATAGGGAAGCCGGAGGATTTCTTGCTTTATTAAATATGTAGGGCTTTCATGGTATTTGGTCTAGTTTAGTTTAGTTTAGTTTGCATAGCATAAAGCCAGGCCAAAAAAAAAAAAAAGGCATTTAAGCACACTAGTGTGTCAGGGGTCATAAACAAGGAGCAAATGTAAATTCAAGACACACTTGCTTAGTAACCAGGATAAACAGTTTAAAAGGGGTATTCTTGGAAATCCAGGGGCTATGTTGGAATTTGCAAACAGAAATACACAGCACCAGTAAATATAATAGAAAATAATACCTGATGCAGTTACAGTTCTATTTGAATTCAAGAAAGGTGCATGGTTCTGGCTGGCCACATAATCCTGAGGAAACTGGGGAAGAAGGATGAAGGTGTGCATAGGCCGGGGCTTCTGGATATGGTTTCTGTACATTAGCAAAGTGGTCGAAACCTGCTAAACCTCCATTATCCTAGGGGATTCAAAGGAGCCAACTCTGGCACTAGTATTTTCTAATTCACTTGGTCCTCAGGAATAGGCACTGAGCAACCAGGAAGGAGGTGAAGGTGAACTCTTACTGTGTGGGACTGGATCACAGTGGTCTAGTGAGGGGGGCCTGGGGTCAACAGAGACCTGCCATTAGTAATGAGAGGCAGAGTCCAGGCCTTGGTCTCAGAGTGCAGGGGGGCTGGACATTTAATTCACCTCTGAGGCGACTTTGTGAGCCTGCTGCAGGGTCTCCTTCTCAATCATTCCAGAGCCTGCGGCGAGGGGGCGGAGCCAAGAAGCGGCGGGTCTGGCGAGAGGGCCAGAAGCAACTGAGGCTGCGGGGTGGTATGTGGAGCACTGGGTGCTGCAGGGACCCGGGAGCCCGAGGGCACGGCTGCTGACAGCGTGGGTGGTGCCGGGTGACGCCCTGGGCTGACTCTGTGGCAGGTGAGCGGGTGAGCCAGGCCGATGGCGATAACTGCGGCCCTGTCGGCTGCAGCTGCGGCTGCGGCCCTGTCAGGCCTGGCAATGCGATTGTCGCGTTGGGCGGCGACGCGCGGCTCCAACAGCGCCTTCTGCCAGGGGCTCACGCGCACGCTGCTCACCTTCTTCGACCTGACCTGGCGGCTGCGCGTGAACTTCCCCTACTTCTACATGGTGGCCTCGGTGATGCTCAACGTCCGCCTTCAGGTGCGGATCGAGTGAGCCATCGCTCCCCTCCGGGGCGGCCCCCGGGAGGAGAGCACCATCCGCTCCACCCGCGCCACCCACGCCATCCGCGCGCCACCCCTGCCAGGCGGCCACGTAAAGGACCATGGGGACGCTTACTGCCCAGGGACTGTGGCGGGGGGCGCAAACGGGACTGCCTGGGCCCCTCCATTTTAGGCCTCTGAGGAGGGCCCACGGTTCTGCATCCCATACCACACAAAACAAAAAACAAAACAAAAAAACTTTACAGCCTAGTCATTTTCCGCGGAATCCAGAGAATCACCAGAGTCTGGCAAACCTGTTGCCTACGATTAGCCAGAAAGAGGGAAAACCCGAAAGAGTGGGTGCTACCGCAGGATTTACCAGGCCCTGTGCAGGAAGATAGGCACCGACAGGTTGGAATGGGGGCTAGTGGGTGTAACTCTTTTGTGGAAATAGGGAATACGCCATGGCACACCTGCTGCGTAGCCAAGCTTGGAAACTAAAAAGGTAGGCAAGGCTCTCCCGTGTCCCTGGTGGTGGTTCCATGATAGGGTATTGGGTGGCTATGACATCTTGGAGGGTCAGCTCATCACCAACACACAGACAGGGAGCCCCTCTCGCCCACCTTCCAGGCCTCAAATTCTTTTTTTTTCTTTTGTAGGAGCTTCCTGAGATGTAACCTGAACCCTGAATGGAATGGCAGAGGATTGGGTCAGTGAGCCCCCAGGAAGGTGCTAGAAGAGTAAATGTTTGTCCATAGGTCTCCCTATGTCAGGTGGTCAGATAAAATGGAGAGTTCTTTTCTGAACCAAAGCTCAGGTCTGTCCCCTTATTTGCATGCAGGCCCAAGGTTAGTCTCTGTTGCTTTATGCAGCCCTTCTCCAGACTGCCTCCTGCACTCTTGGGGATGGGGCAGGGGACTGTCCTCTGCCTGCTCCTCCTGCTCTCCCTCTTTCTCCCCTAACCCGGTCTGGGGACATTCCTGAGGCTCTCTGCCTCTGCAGACAGGAACGAACAGGAAATATTGGTTACAGTGGTCTCTTTCCCCCACAGCCTGCTTCTTCCATCCTCCCTGTCTGCCCAGCAGCACCTGCGATGACACTCGTGTGACCCAGAAGCCCATCTTCCAGCCATGAGCAGCCTGGCAGCCGTGTGCCACAGGATCTGAGGAAGTAGGAAGGATTTCAGGAGCAAGCAGCTGCTGTCAGGATAGGGTGGAGAGGCAGAGTGCACAGGAGGCCAACTCTGAAGACTTCTCTTTTTTTTTTTTTTCAGGCCTTGGTCTTCTTGGTGATGGCTCCCTTCTCTGATCATTTCAAGATGGATCCCTATGTAGAGATGCCTGCCTCTGTTCCTGAGCAGCCCGGGGAGCAGCTGAGTGAAGAACCTGCCTAGAAGAGGAAGGGCCTTTCTGGTAGAGGCTTAGAGAGTGGTGGTGTGGCTCAGGTCTTCTGGCCCCGCCACAGAAAAGATGCCAGTGTACCTCAGGCACTGATATCTCCTAGCAACACTGTGAGGGAGGCGTATTCTCTCATCTCATGAACACAATGGGCATCAAGGACCGGGCTGGGATTTGCCCTTGTTACACACAGAAGAGGGGGAAACTCAGTCTGCCCTGGACCTGCATTCCCCAACCCCTTCTGCAGTCTTCTTGATGACCTGGGAGGAAGCTGGGGTGGGGAGGGAGTAGAGAGCTGCCAGGGGACCTAGGGAGAAAGAGAGGCTGTGGGTTAGGGAAGCTGGGCATCTGCCTTTCTGTGGAGTGTGCTATGGAAAGAAATCATGTTGAAGACAGGAATAGCTGTGGTGGAGGACCTAGTAATAGAATCTCAACTCCCTGGTAAGCCACTTACTCTCAACAGAGCCAAATATCCCACCTCCCTAGAGCTTACTATGGGCTCCTGAGCAGTTCTGTGATGCAGACCTCTCAGCTGGTGATGATGGCATTGTGGTTCCTAGGTTCTGGCTGCTACCAGGAGAGTGAAGATCTTGAGAGCCTTGGCACCACCCCGTTTCTGTGTGCTCAGCCTTAGAAGCTCCATCCCTGGAATCACATGGGGAAATATCATACAGATGGGTTTAGGACAGTACAGGGGACTTTGGGTGGGGTGCCCAAATGGCTGGGAATGACTGAAGGGACACCCATCTCCTATTTCCCTCAGTTCTTCTGGCACTGATAGCTCGAGGTCCATGTATCCGGTTCTTGGGATGGAAACCTTCAAGACACTAAGTGGCCCCAGGGACAGAGTGGCCTCAGTGTCCACTAAGAGTCAAGGACCAGAGGAAGATCTCCATATCTCTCACTTCAGGTACACAGACTGAATGGTGGTTACTACATGCCCCCCCCCCCCGCTGTTTCCCACAGCTCAGAACTGATAGCTTTCTTCTGCCAAGTTTCACTGAGTGCTTTGTGTATGTATAAATACATGTATGCGAACATGTTTACATTGCAGAATGCACGATTAAGGAGGAGCTTCACAGGTTTACTGGCCTTACTTTAGAAGAAGGACCTTGACCTACTGGAGAAATGAGTATGGAGACAGAGGCCCTGCCTTCTTAGACCTCCTGCTCCAGGAAGCCCCTCCCTGATCATGTCCAGGCATGGGCTACGGTGTGAGGTCAGAGGCACTGACAATGGACTGGACTCTGGGCCAGGAGATGGGGGTAGAACTAGGACTCTGCTTTGTGTGTCTCATTCTGACCCTGAGTAGTTTGTGAGCCTCTGTTTTCCATGCCCCCTTGGCTACCTTTCTTCCTCCAGGATGGCCTGGCTGTGTGATGGGGTCATGATGCACTTTATCTCCTTGCTGTCTGTACTGCAGGCAGCGGAGCGTCAATCAGCTCAGAGACTGGACTTGGATGGCCACATACTTCCATGTGTGATGAACTCTTCACTGTCAGTGCCGTCTGGTCAGAGATGTCGTTTCTGATGTTGCCACATGTTGTTGTCTCTCAGAGTTAAAAGAAAATCCTCCAGTCAGTACACCAAATACAGCCTGGATGCCTCCTGTTTTTCTCAGGTGCCTTACCATACCCTGGGCGGGGAAGTGGGTGGGGTGCGGGACAGCACCCTCCAAGCCCATGGGGCCATCCAGAGAGCTGGGCAGGGAAACTGAAGCTTCAGAGCCTCCTCCTTGACAGGACCACCACCCTCTTCTCCCTGCACCCAGTGGGCAACAGTTGAGGCAGGCCCACAATGTTATAGTTGTTGTCATTCAGTGTTCAGAAAAAGAAGCTGAACCAAAGGCTTCTCTTTCACTCCAGGGTCTGGACTCAATGTGTTTAATTCAAGTTGAGCCTGAAGAGAAAGGGGAAATGCAAGAATGTTCTGTAGGCCACTCTGTGCAACCCAGAGATTCATCTGCAGGAGCAGGGGGTAAAGTCCTTACTGCTGTCTTCCCGGGAGCATGCGAGGAACCCGTGACAAAATGAACCACCTGCCACAAGCTGGAGCTGGATCCTGCTTTTCTCTCATGACTTTACCTCTGTTCTCTCAGAACTCCATTCTGAGGGGTTACCAGAGAAACCAGGAGCCCCCAGGCTGAGGTGAGGTGGGGCTTAGCAAGAGGGCAGGTGACTCAGTGGGGAGGAGACTCAGGGAGGTCAGACAGCAAGACTGTGAGAGACCTCCTTGTGAGGGTTGGGACAAGGGCACCCAGGAAGGCAGGAAAGGTGACATGAGGCTCAAATGCATTGTGGGAGGCTAGAGGAAGTCAGGAAGTTATTGTGGTATGGTAGAAGCCTCAGGAGTAGGACAGTAGACTCCTGGGTGCTGTAGAGCAGGACAGGAGGCTCCGGGGGGGGGGGGGTACTGTAGACCTTGGGGAACATAGAAAACTCAGGAGAAAGGCAAAAAGCTGAGCAGATACACAGGAGTCTCATGAGGTCAGGTAGGAACGACTGAAGGCTGGGGAGGTGGGCAGAAGAGTGGTGTAGAAGGTAAGAAGCTCATGGGGTGTAGGATTCTGGGAAGGGTGACAACAGGCTGGGGGGATGGTAGGGTGGGGGATGATAGGAGGATGGGCCATGCAGAAGACTCTAAAAAGGGACAGGAGGCTAGAGGAAAGGTTGCATTGTGAGGAGGGCAGGAGGGTCATAGAGTGGATCTGGAGGCTAGAGAGGCAGGTAGGAGGTTAAAGGGGAAGTCAGGGATGAAAGGGGTAGCTGGGGGAGGGCAGAAGGTTTAGAAGGAGGACCAGAGGCACAGGGGACGGTTGGAACACTGAGGAAGAGAGCGGAAGGCTCAAGAATACAGTACGTGAGCCAGGTGAGAAGGATCAGAAGAAGGTATGGATGTGTTAGACAGAGCAGCTGGCTCAGGGACTGTATGAGGCTGAGGGGAAGGCAGGCAGAGCTGGGAGACAAATACTAGGGAGGGCAGAGGGCAAGGACTGACGGCCGTACTGTTAAGGGAAGGTGGTGTCTGGTGGGCAACACAGAAGACTGAGAAACGTAAGCTGGACAAGAAACAGGCGTGTCATGGGATTTGGGAGGGCAGAAAATTTTGGGGTGCACAACAGGCTGGAGGGGAGAATGAGTATCTGGGATAGGGCAGAAGGGTAGGGAGCTTGGCGGGAAGCTGAGAAGGAACACAGCAGAGTGAGGAGAGCGGTAGGAGGCTCATGGGGACAGCCCGTGATGAAGAAGGCAGGGGTCATAGAGGGTATGAGGCTGGGTTGAGGGAAGAAGAACAGGGCTGCGTGAAAGCAGAAAGAAGACTGAGATTGAGGCATAGACTGAAAGGACAGCTGGGAGCTGGGAAGGGAGGGGAGACTTCGGGAGGTAGGGGCCAAGAGGCTGGAGAGAAGGCTGGTGAGAAGGACACATGGGTGAGGAGAACAGAATGAGGAAGGATGTGAGAGGTGGAAGGCTAGGTAGGGAAGGCTAGGTAGGGAAGAAGGAGCCTTGGGAGGAAGGAGAAGGCAAGGCCTCAGGTTGGTGAGGACTGCTAGTGGGTGGGGGAAGGGCAAATGGTGGGTGAGGAGGGCAGGAGGTTCAGGGGAGGTTATGATGTTACAGGGTGTAAGTCTATTGAGGAAGGAATTGTGGCCAGAGGGAAGGAGGGGACTGTGGAGGGAGGAAGGCCTAGGAAGTGTGCAGGAAGCTAAGGAATACTGCAGGAGTCGGGGGTGGGGTCTGAGAAACTGTGGGAGTATGGAGAGGAGAATAAAGGAGAGCAGAAGCTGGAGAAGGCAGCGTACATGAGAGAAAATTGGGATATGGACAGAGGCTCAGGGCACTGTAAGGGTCTGGGGGACCCAGAAGGTTGAGGAGGGGGCCCAGGAGCTCAGGATGAAATCAGGAATGAAATAGATGGTAAAGGAAAATGAAGGGTTAGGGGAAGATAGAAGGCTTGGGGAGGGCAGAAATCTAGAGAAGAGGAGCAGAAAGCTGGAGACAAGACAGGAGGCAAGGGAGGAGATAAGGATTGTTATAATCCAGAGAAGAACAAGAGGCTTGAGGAGAAGGGGAGGTTCCAGGTAAGAGTCAGAATTATAGAACAAGGACAGCAACATGGAGCCTCAGAGGGTGGGTAGGACACTGAAGATGGTTCACTTTAGAATAGGAAGTGGAGGAGAAAGCAAGATGCTCAAAAGATAGAAAATTTGGAGCTAGGCACTAGGTGTGTGTGTGTGTGTGTGTGTGTGTGTGTGTCTGTGTGTGCAGCGGGAGAACTAAGTGTACAGAGGAGAGAAAGCATCCCGGAGATGGGCCTGATGCTGAGAACAGTTAGAAGGTTGACAGGACAGGATGGCAGGGTGAAAGGCACCAGAGTTGGGGATTAACACAGAGAGGAAGCAAGGCTGATCAGGAAGACACACACACACACACACACACACACACACACACACACACACACACTGGCTCAGGGTAGGAATCTGCAGATGAGGACAAAGCCCAAGGCATATGGTATGGTTGGCGACTAAGGAAAGGCCTAGGGATGCAGAGTGCCAGATGATCATGGAGAAGGAATAAGAATCGGAGATGTCAGGAGTAAGGGGGTGGGTAGATGAGAGTGGAAGGATGGATCTGAGGAGAGAAGACCTGGAAAAAGATAGGAACGCCCGATGGAGGAAAGGAAGCAGGGTGAGAGCAGGTTCTGAGGGAGGGAGGAAGACAGGGGGAGAGGATTGGAGGGAGGGAGAGCAAGCCCCTTCGGTGAAGGCATGGGCCTGAGAGAAGGAAGGATGAGGATGATGAGGAAGGTGAACAGGAAGCTGTGAGGGTATCTAAGAACATTTGTTACAGAGCAGGAGGTAGATACTGGCCAATGGATTGGGAAGAAATAGTAGTTTATAGAGAAGGACATGGAGAAGGGCCTGAGGTTAAAGGGGAAGGTGGGAGTTGGGAGAGGAAGACAACAGGCCCAGAGTGAGGGTAGGAAGCTGGTGGGGACAGAAAGCCCTGGAAGAGATGACGGACACGAGGGTATGAGAGAAGAATCAAGGGGAGCTAGGAGCTGGGCAGGAGGCTGATGTGTAGGGTAGGAGCTTCAACGTGGAGGGCAGAGAATAGGGAGTGACAGGACTCTGGGGAGGGGAAAGGGGATACAGACATAGAAAGGTAGAGAAGAGACGTTGAGGACCCAAGGGTTCTAGATGCATGAGGAGAGAGTCACACACTCAACCTAAGGGTAAGATGGAGAGGAGAGTAGGAGGGAGACTAGCAAGTAGGATGAAAGAGGCGAGGGAGCAGGGCAGAAGACTCAGGCAAACGTCGGAGGATGAAGAGGAGGACAGAAGAATGCAAAGGAAAAAAGTTTAGGAAGAACCTAAGAGTCTGGGCAGAAGGGCAGAACCATGGTGACAAAGCAAAATGGAGCCTAGGCTACAGGAGGTTTAATATTCATACAGGGGACTGAAGAGGAGGGAGAGATGGTGAGGATGGTGGTAGAATACAGGAGAATAGAATGTAGATAAAGAGGAGGAGAGAAGAAGGTGCCCTAAAAGGGCATAATGGTCATCAGGACAAAAGAAGTTTGGGGAAGAGAGCAGGAAGCTCAGGGACAGGGTAGAGGTGAAGGGAAGAGGTAGACACTGCAGGGTGGTGAGAATGAGATTCTGGGACAACATAAGGGGAGGAGGACAGGAGACACAGTTGAACTGCTAAAATTTAAGATGGAATTAGAGGGAGAGTGTTAAGCAGATGTCATGGATAGGGGCCAGAGGTGGGAAGTGATTGTCAAAATTGGGAAGATTGGAAATGCTAGGTGTGGTGGGGATAGGGATTGAAGACTTCTCCTGTTGAAAACAGATAGGATAGAAGTGTGTTCCTTGGGACAATAGGTCACTGTGGACCAGATGCAGATGAGTGCATCTAGGAATCTGAGTACCAGGGGATCCAATTGAAACTTAACAGATGGAGAATAGAAGGTATGTCAGAAGACCAAGGGCAGCGCAGATGACTGGGAAAAGGCGACCACCTGGATCGAGATGTCGGGAAGTTGAGACAAAGAGGGCAAATGCCTGGAGAGGAAGGCAAGATTCTCAGGAATTTTGGGTCAGAGACTGAGGTAAAGAAGTCTAGCTATCAGGGCTGTATAGGGAGACTGGAGAGGACAGAGGAGTCTGAGGAGGGTGGTGAGACTGAGCAGGACAGGATGCTTGGGGTGCTCCTAGGAGAAGAGAGGAACTCAGGAGTTTGAGAGAATGGGTAGTAGGCTAGGACAATGACAGGATAGCTAGAGTCATCCTGCGGTAGAGATGCAGTTGCTGCTTACAACATATACACAGGCATTCATAGAAAATTTACAATGATTCTAGGGAGAGGGTTTTATTTTAAATTGATTTTTATTGAGCTCTATATTTTTCTCTGCTTCCCTCCCTCCCTTTCCTCTCCTTTTAGGGAGTGTTTTAGCCTACACCCACAATAGATGGAGATCCAAGTACTGGAGAGAGGTTTTGGTGAGGGCGGATTCTAAATAAGGTTTAGCAGAGGATGTGGGGAAAGGGGAGTTGGGGTAGAAGGAAGGGGGTAGGGGGCAGGGTGCAGTGCTATGGCAGGGTGAAAGGCTTAGACTAGGGGGCAGGGGGCAGTGCTATGGCAGGGTGAAAGGCTTAGACTAGGGAGGATGAAAGGCACCTATAGAGGAGTCTTTCAGGGTCAAAGCAGGAATTAGAATCTAGGTGGTTTGGCAAAGAAGTCTTGTGTTGAGTTCCAGTTGTCTATTAGCAGGTCAAAAAGCAGTGGAGGGAGCTGGGATTGGTGGTGCACATCTTTGATCACGGTACCCAGGAGGCAGAGGCAAGTAGATGTCTGAGTTTTAGGCTAACCTGGTCTACATAGCAAGTTTCAGGACTTCTATGGCTACACAGTGAAACCCTATCTCTAAAAAAGTCTGAGCAGGAGGACAGGAGACTGGTTGTGGGTGGCAGGTTTCAGGAGGTCCCCAGCGACATGATTAAATGAGTAGCCTGGGGAAGATATCAGGAGAGTTGTGGGCTGGGGATGAGGGTTGAATGATCCAGAGACGCTAAGAGGGTCCAGGATGTTGAGGATAGGAAGTTAGAAGAGAGGACAATGAGGACAGAAATAAACAGAAGCCT